CGTCTTCATTGCCAGCCTGCCCAAAAGATAGTTTTAATTGGGAATTTTGAAATTCCATTCTGATTCCTACTGGCAGTAATGGTAACTGGATTTATAAAACTGCCTAAGGTGCATTTACTACTGGATAAATTCCCTGGTGACTCGGATGGTAAAGAATCTACCTGCAATGCAGAAGATACCCCGGTTCCATCCCTGGATCCAGGAGGATCCTTTGAAGGAAGGAATGGCCACCCATTCCAGTATTCTTGCCTGGAGAATTCCCTGGACAGAGAAGCCTGGCAGGCTGCAGCCCATGGGGTGAGAATTTGTTTTCCATCAAATGCAAGCCTGTCTTGATCACAGGTCTCTTCTCTTGATATTATCATGAAATCTTGAATTGCGTAAACCAAGGCGGCCCAAAGACCTTTGCAGTGCTTAGTTTGCTGGCTTAAGTAAAATAGCACATCATGTGTATAAATCATCTGTGATTACATGGGCTATTTTAATTATAAACACATGTAGGATAGTGTTAAAACCAGTAGGGACTCTGGTAATACTAGTGGTATTACTCTGTGAGGGTGCCCTATATCTTATTAATACTCTTCCATGCTTATTACTTAAGTAGCTACTGAATGCGTATGAGTTGAGTGATTTGGGGGCAGGGGAAAGTTATTCATTTATACCTCTTTCTATGAAGGATTTGAGGCAGTTTCCGGAAATACTTAACATATCAAAGAGTAAAATAAACAGTTTAATGACATAGCAAAATTAGTAACAGTGTTAAGAAAATAATAAAGCCATAGTACAGTAATAATATGAGCTATACAGACTGTAGAATGAGCCATGTGAGCCTATAGTTTCAAGACAAATTTGTCTCAGAGCTTCACAGTAGTCAAGCACAGAGGACAGCACAGTCATTTAGAAGGTTCGTATTGTCTGTCCCTAACTAAAAATAAACCAGGAGTTTGGGAAAGAAATTTCTCCCCTGTATATTGTAAACTAGACAATGTATGATATAATGAAATAAATATATCCTTTTTATGCTATTCTTACAATTAATATATTTTAAAGATAAAGTAGAACAGTACAAATGATATACACAACAGTAGCTGTCATCCCAAATTAAATGACATTTGTATTGTCATATTTGCCTTAGGTCGTCCTAATTTTAAAAGAAACATGAGAGATCAACTTGAAATGTCTTGCATTGTTTTCCCAGCTTCATTCTTTCTTGCTCCCCTATCCTGAATCTGCTACATAGCTTGTCATTGGTTTTTTTTCACTTCTACTGTATGCATTAAAACTCAACGTTCAAAAAACTAAGATAATGGCATCCAGTCCCATCACTTCATGGCAAATAGATGGGGAAACAATGACAGACTTTATTTTCTTGGCCTCCAAAATCACTGCAGATGGTGACTGGAGCCATGAAATTAAAAGACGCTTGCTCCTTGGAAGGAAAGTTATGACCAACCTAGTGAAGTGAAGTGAAGTCACTCAGTCGTGTCCTACTCTTTGCGACCCTATGGACTGAAGCCTACCAGGCTCCTCCATCCATGGGATTGCATATTAAAAAGCAGAGACATTACTGATAAAGGTCCATCTAGTCAAAGTTATGGTTTTTCCAGTAGTCATGTATGGATGTGAGTTGGACCATAAAGAAAGCTGAACACTGAAGAATTGGTGCTCTTGAACTGTGGTGTTGGAGAAGACTCTTGAGTCTCTTGGACTGCAGGGAGATCCAACCAGTCCATCCTAAAGGAGATCAGTCCTGGATATTCATTGGACGGATTGATGCTCAAGCTGAAACTCCAGTCCTTTGGCCACTTGATGCCAAGAACTGACTCATATGAAAAGACCCTGATGCTGGGAAAGATTGAAGGCAGAAGGAGAAGAGGATGACAGAAGAGGAGATGGTTGGATGACATCACCAACTCAATGCACATGAGTTTGAACAAGCTCCGGGAGCTGGTGACGGACAGACAAGCCTGGTGTGCTGCAGTTCATGGGGTTGCAAAGAGTCAAGACATGACTGAGCAACTGAACTGAACTGTATGCAAATATCTGTAAATAATATATAAATCTTAAATTTGTGTAAATAATGTACTGCACAAGACATTCCAAAACTCTTTTTTCATTAGTATTGTGTTTGATCTCATCTCCATGGTACAGTTCATTGCCTTTAAATCCTGAAATAGTTTTCCATTGTATGGAAATAACCCAATTTAGTTACCTATTTCCCTCCTACTGGATTTTTAGTTTGTTTATAACTGCCACATTGAACGACCTTGTCCGTGTCTTCTTGTGCCTATGTGCAGTTTTTCTAGGGCAGTGGTTCTCAAAACGATCCAGGACCAGCACATCAAGGTCACCTGGGAACTTGTTCAGTTCAGTTCAGTCACTCAGTCGTGTCCGACTCTTTGCGACCCCATGGATCACAGCACGCCAGGCCTCCCTGTCCATCACCAACTCCTGGAATTTACCCAAACTCATGTCCATTGAGTCGGTGATGCCATCCAACCATCTCATCCTCTGTCGTCCCCTTCTCCTCCTGCCCTCAATCTTTCCCAGCATCAGGGTCTTTTCAAATGAGTCAATCTTTAGCATCACGTGGCCAAAGGATTGGAGTTTCAGCTTCAACATCAGTCCTTCCAGTGAACACCCAGGACTGATCTCCTTTAGGATGGACTGGTTGGATCTCCTTGCAGTCCAAGGGACTCTCAAGAGTCTTCTCCAACACCACAGTTCAAAAGCATCAATTCTTTGGTGTTCAGCTTTCTTTATAGTCCAACTCTCACATCCATACATGATTACTGGAAAAACCATAGCTTTGACTAGATGGACCTTTGTTGGCAAAGTAATGTCTCTGCTTTTTAATATGCTATCTAGGTTGGTCATAATCTTTCCAAGGAGTAAAGTGAAAGTGAAGTCGCTCAGTCGTGTCTGACTCTTTGCAACCCCATGGACTGTAGCCTACCAGGTTCCACCGTCCATGGAATTTTCCAGGCAGGAATACTGGAGTGGGTTGCCATATCCTTCTCCAAGGAGTAAGTATCTTTTAATTTCATGGCTGCAGTCACCATCTGCAGTGATTTTGGAGCCCAAGAAAAGTAAGTCTGCCACTGTTTCCACTGTTTCCTCATCTGGTTGCCATGAAGTGATGGGACCGGATGTCATGATCTTAGTTTTCTCAATGTTGAGCTATTTAAGCCAACTTTTTCACTCTCCTCTTTCACTTTCATCAAGAGGCTCTCTAGTTCTTCTTCACTTTCTGCCATAAGGGTGGTATCATCTGCATATCTGAGGTTATTGATATTTCTTCCTGAAATCTTGATTCCATCTTGTGCTTCATCCAGCGCAGCATTTCTCATGATGTACTCTGCATATAAGTTAAATAAGCAAGCTGACAATATACAGTCTTGTCATACTCCTTCCCCTATTTGGAACTAGTCTGTTGTTCCATGTCCAGACTTGTTAGAAATTCTTGGACCTATTCCAAACCTGATAGGTATACAGTGTTTAGTAAGAGCTATTTTATTTACTTTTTGTGGCTGGTATTTTTATAGGATAGTTGGTCTTTTTCTTATTTATTTTGTAGAAGCAATTAATGTATTACTTCTTATGTTAATACAGCTAACTCTTTGCCATGTATTGTAAGCTTTGTTTGTTTTTTGCTTTGTTCATAGTACTTAAAAATTGTATTCACTGCTGTTTTTAATGTCTTTTATGTTTAGAAAGACCCTGGAGGGGAGAATTTTGAGTTGGATTTGGTTTGCTACTGGGACACCCTGTTGAGATGTGTAGCAATTATTTAGGAATGGTCTGAGGCTTATGAGAGAGGTCAAAGTTGGAGATGTGGGAATCATTTATATAAAGACAGAAATTTGACACTGTTGTGGATAAAATTACCACAAAAGAAAATGTAGTTTGAGAAAATGATTCAAGATTAAACCATGGGAACAACAGTGAAGTAAGAGAATCCAATAAAAGATATTGAGGAATGATCAGAAAACAGAGAAGGCAAGGAGAAGAATCTGGAAACTGGTGAAGTGTAACAAGAGAGATTGTTAATGCTACATAGAAAGAAACACATCTAAGACAGGGGTGAATGTTGCCCTTCAAGAGAGCAGCTAACAATGGGTTAAGAAATAGAGGACTATTCTTTTCTTTTTAAATTCATTTTTAATTGGAGTATAATTGCTTGACAATACTGTGTTGGTTTCTGCCATATATCAACATAAATCAGCCATAGGTATACATAGGTCCCCTCATCGTGAACCTCCCTCCCAAGGACTATTCTTATTAATAAGTTTGCACTGAAGTGTAGAAGATGAGACAGTAGTTGGAAAGGTAACAAGGTTATTTTTCCTTTAGGAGTATTTTTATTTGTACCCCCAAGGGAAGGAGCCAGTAGCAAACCTGTATGTGATGTTCACCAAGCTGTCTTCTCTTTAGGAAGTCAGTCGTGTCCCACTGTTTGTGACCCCATGGTCTGTAGCCCACCAGGCTCCTCTGTCCATGGAATTTTCTAGGCAAAAATACTGGAGTGGGTTGCCATTTCCTTCTTCTGTGTCTTCTTCTGTCTTCTGTGTCTCCTGCATTGCAGGCATATTTACCTGTTGAGCCATCAAGGAAGCCCCTACTTTAAGTACCCTTTGAATAAAGGGTACTCAATTGGTAAGATAATATTAATTATCTTATAATTATATAAATTATATGTTATATAAATAATTAGTTTTGTGCAGAAAATTAAAACAGGATTATATCTTTGTGATGAGGAGACTGCCTTAGGTTAGGTGATCTTCTCTGAGGTTAACATTGAATGCTAAGCAGTCATTTGAATGATAACGGCAATGCATTCCAGGCAGGAGACAAAGTTTCCGGTCTCTGGAAGGTCAAATGGAAGTAGTAGGATAGTATGCTAATAAAATTCTCTTGCTTCTTGCATCAACCAGGGTGAAGAAACAATAGAAGTTTTTGTCCCCTGACTTCGAAAATCTTGTTTAACCTTCAAACTGGCGATGTCAAGGGTTCCAAGTCCTCCACCTCCGGCAGAAATGTCGAGTGGCCCTGTAGCTGAGAGCTGGTGCTACACACAGGTAGGTGCTTCTTGGGAGGATTTTGATGGACAAAAGGAATCAGGTTTCTTTTCTATGTTGACTTTCCTGCTTTCTCTGAGTCATACATGTCAAATAGGTAAAGTACATGTCATCTTTCTGTTCCTTGGTTTTCTACGAGGAATTTGAATGGCCTAGGCCGCTGTTTTTCACAGGAGGTTGAAGGAGAGAAATCTTTGAAACTAGACCTAGTCTCTACATCTTCCTTGATGGTAATGTGTGACTCTGTTGAGCAACTCAAGGGGAAACTAGGTTTGAGATTTGCAACCCCAGGCAGTGGTGTCAGTATCTAAATCATTAAACACTGCTCTGAGCAGAGGTTCATTTTAGGTGTGGCTTAATCACATGCTTTCCCAACATTGTGCTTTTCTCACTTTCCATCCAATATTTCTCAGAAACTGAAAAGAAAAGCAGTGGAAGCAGTTGATCACTGTGAGATTTCTTAAAATGTAGATGAGGGATGGAAAAGGATTAGCCTCTATGCTGGCTGAACAGTGTTATCTTCTTATGGGATTATGCAAAGGGAGGGAGGGGGAAATTATCTGATCTCCAGCCTGTTTTTCAGGTTGCTCACTTCCTATATAATTACTTCCTGGTTTTCTATCAACAGATCAAGGTAGTGAAATTCTCCTACATGTGGACCATCAATAACTTTAGCTTTTGCCGGGAGGAAATGGGTGAAGTCATTAAAAGTTCAACCTTTTCATCAGGAGCCAATGATAAACTGAAATGGTGAGGAAGAATACATTTAGCTGTAAAAAATTTTCTAAAAGTTGCCTGTTTTGCTTGGCTTCATGGAAGACTGTCTGGAACGTAAGATCCTTGATGGCAGGGACTTTGTTTTGTTCTTTATTCCCCAGTGTCTGATACATAACAGATGCTCACTGTATGTTTGTTGAATTAGTTCGGTGAGTGTTTCGGGGTCAGCAAGCTCAAATGGCTGTAGAGTAAAGTCAGTGAGTTAAGAGGGCCAGTATTGTAAATGATATCCGTACCTGGTGTGATTGTTGACCACTTCGCAAACTAGTTAGTGTCCTAAAAGAAGTGGTGGCTACAGCTCCCCCTGACTATAGCCATATGTGAATAAGGTCTGACCATTGGCAGATTCTTTGATTTTTCAAGAAAAACAGAACATCTAGCTTTTATAATGTAATAGCTCTTGATTTTTAGATTGCCTGTTTTTAAACAAAGGAGGTTTATTTACTTGTAACTGGAGTGCCCAGGGTATAGGATATCTTTTAAAGTAATTTGATCCCAGAGCCAGGCCAATGGTTAGATTAAGGACCCATCACTCTCTGCTCTGCCCTGCTCTCCACATCTCAAGATTAGCTTCCCTTGTGGTTGAAAGTTGACTGGCAGTAGCAATGGGCATCTTCCACTACCAACCAACAGTCTTTAAACTTTCTCTGAACTGTGTGGCCAAGAATGTGTCAGACTGCACTGATTGGTTTAGATCTAGGTTCCCTCAGTTGATCCCTGTGGCAAGGGAAATAGGATCTGGGAGGGTGGGTCAGTCCCTTCCAAACCATGTCTTCTCTTGAGGAGCTGCAGGCTGTTATGTTTACAACCATGTTCTCCTTACAAAGCCCAGAATACATATCTATGAATCACCATTTTGACTTCTGTTAACCCACTGAAAAGTTCAGTGACTTTCCATTCATTTAGTATTTGTTGGCCGTGTACATTAAGTAGTGAATTACTAGGTGCTGAGAGAATTCTTAGGCATTGTATTTAAATCCACATCTTTAGCACAATGTGTTGTGATGTCTGTGGTGTATGCACTTCCCAGAGAAGCAGTGAATTGGGCCACCTGTTTGAGAAAGGTGTCATAATACTGGCAAGGCCTAAGGGTGCATATGGCCTATGTATTATACATGGTAAAACAGTGTCTGAACCACATGCAGTTCAGCTAATGACATTTACAAGTTAACTGAGTTGAACCTGTTAAATTCTGTCTGAATTTTGTTTTGATCCATTGGTAACAGATTGGCATCGCTAACTCTACTTAGAAGTCTGACTTGCAACTCTGCCCCGCATAATGGGAATTTACCTTTGTCTGTGCTTCCTCCATATTGCCTCTTATTTTAATCTTAGAGTATTATCGCCAGATTGATAAAATATCTGTAAAAGATTACTTATTTCTCTAGAGTTCTTTTTCTCTCCCAAATTGGTGTTGAAAGGCTCACTGACTTTTTTTCTCCTGGTTTCACTACAGTCCCAAAAAAATAAGGGGCTGAATTTTCCTGAGAGTGAGGATTAAAATAGATGGAGACTCAACTGAATTTTGAAGTATTTTAAGGGGAAAAAATGATATGGGAGATTATGAGGAAAGAGGCAGAGATGCAAGGGATGTGTTGTCGGATTCTAAGATGCCCCTTTATTGTTTACTTTTTAAAAGGTGCCTCAGGTTGCTCTAGAAGAGTGATTTCTAAGTAGTCATTTAACTGAGTCAGAATATCATGCTATGGGGCCTCGGTTTGTTTTTTAACATTTCCTGTTGATTCTTATGTTCTCATTGCCTCATATCACTTCATGAGCCTACAAACGTGGATGCTTTTGACTTTTTTTTCCTTCTGTTTTGGGCAGGTGTTTGCGGGTAAACCCAAAAGGACTAGATGAAGAAAGCAAAGATTACCTGTCACTTTACCTGTTACTCGTCAGCTGTCCAAAGAGTGAAGTTCGAGCAAAATTCAAATTCTCCATCCTAAATGCCAAGGGAGAAGAAACCAAAGCTATGGGTAAATATTATCTTTGTTCAACTCTGTTTTCACATCCAGCAACTTTATACATTGACAAGTTGGGGATTTGATCTTTTTTTGAGTAACCCTAAATATAACTTTTTTTTTTTTTTTCACTCCAGAGAGTCAACGGGCATATAGGTTTGTGCAGGGGAAAGACTGGGGATTCAAAAAATTCATCCGTAGAGATTTTCTCTTGGATGAGGCCAATGGGCTTCTTCCTGATGACAAGCTTACCCTCTTCTGTGAGGTGAGTCCTTTTACCCTGCTGTGAGAGTAGCAGTTCCCAGACCTGATGGGTATCGGTAGATGTATTGTATCAAGGATGGAGAGTGAGAAAATCCCCAAGTGGAGTGGTGCTGCACAGATATTATTTACATGACTGACTGAAAGCTGTGCTATGTTTTCAAGGTTGTTGGACAGCTCAGTTTTCCACTTGTTACTATTTGTTTAAAAACAGAGATTGTGTATGTACTATCTTGGGTCATGATTCTGGCTTTTCATTGCAAAGTTTTTCAGAAAGCGTTTGGAAGGACTGTTACTTTACACTGAGGAGAATGACCAGCAACTGGATAAGTGTATTTGTTCCTTGAGCTTTCTGGCTCCTCCTTGAATATGAGGTCCACATGGGTTTGATAGAGCACTCTCTTTTCTGCTCTTTGAACTAGATGACTTTTATCGGTTGTTGAGTGTCTCTGGTTTGTCTTGCTGAGGGGGCTGTGAAATAGGAAGGTAAGAGCCGTGTTTTGAGTGGAGGTCATGTAGAGCTAAGTCATTGTTAGGGAAGAGGGTTGCCTGTAGTCATTCAGGAGAAGCCTTCTAAGACCCCAGTGACCTGAAGAGCCTTTTCAGGTTTATAGGAGAAGCCTAGAGATGGAATCCCACGAGAGAGAGTTGGAAAATGGTTTCTAAGAGTATATACTAATTAGTTGTTTCATGCTGTTATTAATGCATGTATAAATGCTAATAAGCTTATAGTATAAGAAACTAAGAAAACCTCTAGTCAGCTGGGATGTTGGTGTTCCTTGTACATTGTGTGATCAAGGACCTGATTCCTGATCAACATCACCAAGTGAATGTCTCCTGTGCTTCCATGGGGAGGGTACAGGCAAGTTTCCCAACTAACAGTGTACTTTGTCAAATAATAGGCCCACGTTGCGAGTTAACATTAACAGTAGCTCCAAAGGCATAGCGTGTCACCACCCACACAGCAGGGAAGGTGTCCCTTAGGAGTCTTGCCCTGTTGTAGAAGAGGCCTGGCCAGTAGTCGCTGGCTTCTTTTCCAAGTCACAGCTCACTGAATATTTTCATAGAGTTGCTGATGATTAGTAAACCTGGGAGGTATAGTTTATTAAAATACTACACTGAATACATAAAATATAGTTTGCATAATAGCTACCTTTTCTCCTTTTTAATTGCCAATAGAAAAAAGGGAATAAGAAAATACTAGAGTGAAGGTGTCTGTAAAAATACATAAAATGTTGCAGTTATTTTTTATCTTGGAATTTCAATTCTACATAAATCCAAGTAGTTACAGATCATACTCAATTGCCCATGTGGAGAAATGAGAGCAAGAACAATTGGGTGGTTTTGTGTGAGATTGAATGTTATATAAACAAACTATCTATCAATTGAATATTTGCCCACCTTAGAGATCCTGTATTTCAGAAAAAAAAAAAATAGTGGATTCTTAATTTCTGTTGGAAATGAAAGCCAATCTTTGAACTATTCTCTGAAGGAAATCACCTCTAAATAATGCATCTGGTGTCTTAGCAATACCAGAGCCTTTATTGCCACATTTTTAAGTCTACAGTGCGTCCAGCGTTTTCTTCACATGCTCTCCCCCGCACCTCACCCCACCCAGATCCATTCCATCTGCTTCAGCCCTTGTATTGACATTCTTGATTTGGAAACCAGTTGACCTGCCCTCACTTGGCAATTTCTCATCCTGTGGTTGAGTCTGAGGCACTCTCTCTTTGCTTCCCCATATGAAATTCTCTTAGGAGAAATTCTGTGGTTAAGTTTAGAAATGCCTTACTGACTTAGAAGGGAAGTGAGATGACACTTTGGAAATGAGGAGATGTTGAACAGGGAAACGTCTGGCTGGGTTCTGCTGATGCCATCGGTTTCTTACCACCGGACCAGGTGTGCCATCTGTTCCTCTCACACTTCTCTGTTGGCCACAGGTGCTGAGTGTTGCTTCTCGTTCTTGGGCTTGTGCCTAGTGAGACTCGTTTCTGTTCCAAGACTCTCTGTGGACTTAGTAGCGTTCAGCGTTGCAAGACAGTTGCGTGGGGTGTATGTTGGATGTGTGGGTTTTAAAAATGTCTGCAGCTCATCTAAGTTCTTAGTGCATTTCAGAGCTAGATCACCCTTTGGTGAAAATTCTGTCCCTTTGACCTTTGCTCCCTTCTATCAATGGAATATTTATAAACAAGTCTATTTTGTTCATATTTATATTTTATTTATTATTGGTTTAGTTATATTTTCTTATAATTTAGAGGCCTTTATGAAGTTGATGTCCACATACAAATTTAGATTATGAGTACTCCACTGTTGTATTCCTTACCCAGTTTTTGGCCCAGGTACTTCTGCCCTGTCCTGATGTAATAAGTACAGTTGTTTTGTGAATATTTTGGTCTGTTCCCAGAGGTCATAAGAGGGAATCCTAAGGTGAAAGACTGAGAATCACACGTTTGTGTGTTTGGGCTATATTTCAGTATAACTGTGTAACTGTTAATGAAACTGAAAATGCTGAATGGGCAGTCTTGTTTGTAATGTGCCACTGGGTTCACTTCCGGTTCTTATTGATCTTTCTTTCTGACTCTTAGGAAATGCGGTGATTTTTCCAAGTTGATACTGCTCAGTTAACTCATTCCCTCAATTGTCTTTTATCACAGTCCTTTGAGCTGGGTTAGTTCTTTTCGATTCATGTTATGTTATTGAGGGGAGAAGCAGTGCCTAGGAAGGTTAGGTAATTTTTCCTGACATTGTGCAGCAAATTGGTAGCAGCTCTCTATTTTCCATCTCTAGTCTGCTGTGCTACACTAAAGTGGAACTGAGCACCATTCACCCTAGGAAACATTGGCTCTACCAAGTTTTCTTTGGTAATGAAAGAATCATGAAAGCTTTACACTTTTAATTTTCTCTTTAATAATTTCGACCACAGAAAATCTACTTGAAATGCTTCACTTTTGTTGATCCTCTTTATACTGAAAACAAGTAGCTGTTAGCAGTAAAAATCCATGTATTCCATCTTCATTGTATATGCCTCTGACAGAAGATTCCAGTGCCTGTTTGTAATGTTGTAATTAAAGTTGAAATACTAAATATCATATGAAATACCTAGATACTAGTTAATTATTAAAACATCCCTTTCCTTAACAAACAATATCACTTCAAAGCCCAAGAATATGTATTTTTTCTAAATTTAAATATGTTGGTCTATTTTTTCTTTTACTATTTGTTAATGGATTATTTGTATGTATTAGTTGAAAGAAAATGTGAGTAATAATTGATTGTTCTTGACCTACAAAAATGGTGCTTTAATGTGTATTATCATTATAGGTTATAAAACATGATAATGTAGTAAATCTACTACCCAACCCAGCATTACCACTGGTAACTTAGAACCGACCTATATATGCTGCTTCCTTATCCCTTAGACCTGTTGTCTCCCTACTCAGACAATGATAATAAATAGCTCTTTTGAATTAATCATTCCATTGTTTATTATTTGTATGCCTGAACAATATATTGTTTAGGTTTGCTTGTTTTTGAGCTTTATGAAGATGGTCTCAGGATATATGTAGTCATCTAGGACCTGTTGTTTTCACATTGTGTTTCTGAGGTTTATTTACATTGTGCATATAACTATAGTTCATTGATTTTAATGCTGTGCAGTATTTGGTTGTATATTCACTCACCAGCTGATTGGTTTGTTTATCCTTTCTCTTACTGATAGACATTTAGATTGTTGCTAGTCTTTGATTAGAAGTAGTGCTGCTGTTGTGTTGTTGTTGTTCAGTCACTGAGTCGTGTCCAGCTCTTTGTGACCCCATGGACTGTAGCACACCAGGCTTTCCTGTCCTTCACTGTCTCCTGGATTTTTTTCAGACTCATGTCTATTTAGTTGGTGATGCCATCCAACCATCTCATCCTCTGTCACCCGCTTCTCCTCCTGACATCAGTCTTTCCCAGCATCAGGGTCTTTTCCAATGAGTTGGCCCTTTGCATCAGGTTGCCAAAGTATTGAAGCTTCAGTTATTGTATCAGTCCTTCCAATGAATATTCAGAGTTGATTTCCTTAAGGATTGAATGGCTTGGTCTCTTTGCTGTCCAAGGGACTCTCAAGAGTCTTCTCCAGCACCACAGTTTGAAAGCATCAATTCTTTGGTGCTTAGCCTTCTGTATGGTCTGACTCTCACATCCATATAATGACTGTTGGAAAAACCATAACTTTGATTATATTGACCTTTGTTGGCAAAGGGTCAGCTGCTTCTATAAACAATCTATATACAGTCAGTTTATTTTTCTAGATTTGTTTTAATTATATGGAAGTTAAAAATGTATTTCCAGTATTTTTTACCTTGACTTTCTATGTTTGGACAAAATATACAAGAAATGACATAATCTTTCATGAAATTTTCTTTTTTAAGGAAAAGAATTGACTTTAAAAGTGAGGCCCTTTTACAACTTGAAATTTAGAGGGTTATAGAGCCTTCCTGAGACATTTTCATGCAGTTATGTCTAAGACGACATAAATGTCACAGTCACGTCATCTTCACAGCTGCAATTCTGAATGAGTCTCCATAGTCAACTTTATAAACATTAAAAAAAAAAAAATCTTTAGTTTTTCTCAAAATGGTATCATTTTAGTGTCATCATTTGCAGAGGAAAACAATCCTTTCTAAGTTAAAAGTTTGGGCTCTGAAGACTCATTTGTGAATGCCATTTAAAATTTATTTTTAATTAAGCGTATTTAATGTTGGTAAGAGGTGCCAGACATTCAGAGCTCTGGAGACTCCAGGCATCCATATATCTGCAGAACAAGTCTGGCTCAGGCAGTAAAGGTACATTCTCCTTCCTGCTGTGTTCCTGTCTGTGTCTAGAAAGAGGAATTACCCCAGTGAGAGGAGTCACTGTCTTTGGGCCCCACTCATTACCAAGTACACATGTAACCAGCACAGAGACCGCTGGTAACCATAGTCTGAAAATCAGCTTAGCTTCTTGCCAGTTCATTTTACCCAGTCTAGTAAATTGGCATCAAGTGTTGATGACTTTGGGCTCCTGTCAGACTGGTTTAATTCAAGCTAGGAACGTAGTGCCAAATGTATTCTCCGTTCCTTTCATTGGCCATTCCATAAGATTCCTGCCTTTCCTCATGAGGAAGTTGGATTTAATTGGGCGTGTCCTTGGTGTTTTGTTTGTTCATTTTTAAATCAGCAGTATTTTGGAGCTAAAACTGGAAATAGGCTGCTTTTACTTTTGGTGTTAATATTATATCAAAGAAGTAAGGATGTTAATAAGAGAAAGTTGCTGAACCAGATTAGAGATTTGACATGGGACAATCTCTGTGGGGTGGTTTGTGTTGGGTCCTGGGCTGTTAAAATAATATTGTATTCTGGCTCTGATAAATGTGCTACTAATGCTGAGCACATTCATAATTGATTAACTCAGCTGCTTAATTGTTCAGGACTATAACAGCTAGTTTGAAACAAATGAATAAACTTCTCGACCTGAGAGTAAACATCTCATTCCTATGCAGAAGGGGCCACCAGTCATTTGGATGGGGCGTTAACCATCTCTGGGTTTATGATTGCATTTAAAGGATGACTTGCATCTTTAAGGTTAAAAGAAATTTGAGTCATTAGGATATTCCTTAGCTGTCTTTTTCATCTAACTCATAGGAATAGCAAGAGTGGGGAGCTGATTCTCAAGGTTTGTGAATTCTACTTTCTTTTTAGCATTTCTAACCTAATATGATGTAGGAGAGGAAGCATAGCTAGGGTTGTCAGACAGAAGGCTGAGATCTGTTGGGTCTCATCTTCAGCTTGGTAATTTACACTTATTTTAGAATGTTTTATATGGTTTATAAATTCCTGTGTGTTTTTTTTAATTAATTAATTTGACTTTGTGGAGTCTTAGTTGTGACACACAGGATCTTTCATTGCGATACATGGTCTCTGTAGTTGTGGTGTGCAGGCTTGGTTGCTCTGTGGCATGTTGGATCTTAGTTCCTTGACCAGGGATTGAACCTGCTTTCCCTGCATTGCAAGATGGATTCTTAACCCCTGGGCCATCAGGGAAGCCTCAGTCCTTGTATTTTGTATTCTAACACATTTATCTGAATTTCATTGACCTATCTAGAAGTACCAGGGTTTTAGATTCTTTAGACCAAACAGTTAAATTGGCTGCTGCTGAAGCCAAGTGGCCAGTTGGATTTCTCTGTAAACTCGTCATCATTCTGTTCCAAAACTGTAAGAGCATGCCTAGCTGGAGCCAATCACCTTATATGTCATTGTCACAAATGACTGAGTAGGCGTGTAAATGATGTGGGATGCCTACCCAGTTATCACTACCCAAGATCTTCCAAGCTCGGTCCGGTTCATTAAACTAACGTTGGTAAGGAAATACCAGTTATTTACTATGTCCTGTGTGAGAGTTGAACCATAAAGAAGGCTGAACATCAAAGAACTGATGCTTTTGATTTGTGGTACTGGAGAAGACTCTTGAGAATCCTGTGGACTTCATGGAGATCAAACTAGTCAATCCTAAAGGAAATCAACCCTGAATATTCATTGGAAGGACTGATGCTGAAGCACCAATACCTTGGCCACCTGATGCAAAGAGCCCACTCACTGGAAAAGAGTCTGGTACTGAGAAAGATAGAAGGCAAAAGAAGAAGGAGGCAGCAGAGGATGAGATTGTTAGATAGCATCATTGACTCAACAGACATGAATTTGAGGAAACTCGGGGAAATGGTGGAGGACAGAGGAGCCTGGTTTGCTGCAGTCCATGGGGTTGCAAAGACTCAGACACGACTTAGCAACTGAACAACAACAAAAATAGAAGCTGTATTTTATGTTTATGTTCTAGACCTAACTGAAATAAGTAAAGTGCTTTTAGGCTTGTAAGCTTCTTTTCTCTAGAGAGTTTAATTTAAATGGGAGTTTCTATAGGAGTTCTTTGTATTTAACCTTTTGCTTAGGGAAAATAAGGTAAATATTTAAGGTTTAACATTTGTTTCTATTTTTTCCCTGTGGTGATTTGCCCAGGTACTTCCCTGTTGGCTCAGAGGGTAAAGTATCCACCTGCAATGCGGGAGACCCGGGTTCAATCCCTGGGTTGGGAAGATCCCCTAGAGAAGGGAATGGCAAGCCACTCCAGTATTCTCGCCTGGAGAATCCCATGAACAGAGAAGCCTAGCAGGCTACAGTTCATGGAGTTGCAAAGAGTAGGATATGACTGAGCGACTAATACACATTCAGGGCAGGGAAGGCAGAGCTTATGAGACGTTTGGAAGAGAGAGAAGTTTGTGGGGCTCTCTCCTCATTGTCCTGAGATGTTGTAGAATAGTATGATTGTGATAGTTTAGAACTACTTGTTCAAGAGGATAAATCCTTGTTTAAAAACCAAGAGAATATGACTAAATTTTTATTTAGTTCCTAAATGTACTGCAACAGCAAGGTGAAAATCATCTCTCCTCCTGCTGGGACGAAAATTCCTGGTAACAAAAGCTTTGGACTATGTTTTCCTGTCTTTCACAGGTAAGTGTGGTGCAAGATTCTGTCAACATTTCTGGCCAGAATACCATGAATATGGTGAAGGTTCCTGAGTGCCGGTTGGCAGATGAATTAGGAGGACTGTGGGAGAACTCCCGGTTCACAGACTGTTGTTTGTGTGTTGCTGGCCAGGAATTCCAGGCTCACAAAGCTATCTTAGCAGGTTGGTATTTATTCATGGAGTTTCGTTTTGGTTAAACAGGGAGAAACAGTATACTGCATAATCACCTTTTGAATAGCTTAAACTTTTTGAACTAGTACAGAAAAACTTCAGCTAAACATATTTTTATATTGTGGTGACATTAGTTGTCAAAACCAAAAAGACTTTCCATAAAAATGGTACCTCGCTTTTCTCTCTGTAGTGGACTTAGACCACCATTTTCAAGGAATGGATGATGATGTGTATTAGACGCCTTTTCGCCTCGAAGTTAAGATGTCCAAACATGGTTAAGAGCAAGTATTAGCCCCTAGACAGGGACATAGGATGTAATGGAGAAGATTCTGGACTCAGGAGTAAACTACCACATAGCTAGGTCCCCAGCCCTGGAGGTTTTAGCCGTCTCTTCCATACAAACAGCGGAAGAATGAGGATGCTACCAGTGCTTTGGAAGATCAGGTCTTGTTCTAATAATAGGCCCTTGGTCTTTAAGACCAGAAAGACTGACTCCCAGGAGGGAACTGATAAAGCAGACTGATGGCCTTTACCTCACAGGGAAGCATAGCTTTCAAACTTATATTCAGGCCAAAATATGTGAGAGGAAATCACATGAGCCTTCAGGCAACAGATTTCTTACCACGACCCCCAGCCTTGTCATTCTAAAATGCACACCTGAAAAAAAAATAAATAAATAAAATGCACACCTGGCAAAAACCTCAGTTTGGCTCAATCTAACCATCCTACTGCTCCCCCTCTCAACTGAATGTTACTGAGAATTGCTAAAGGAAGTCATTAATGCTTATGTTAGTGTCTCCACACTCAGCCAGACCCTCATTACTGCCAAGACCTCTTTCTACAGATATTAGTCAGCTCCCTTTCTTTTTCTCAACAATAGACACTTCGGCCCTTACCACTCTCCTTTAATCTCCACCTCCTGAAAAATGACCTTGCTACTTCTTCCAGGAGAAAATTGAGGCCCGTATCTCTTGGCCCTTGGCTCTCACCTTACCTGCATTTTCTCTGCGTTCTCAGTGGAGGAAGAATCCTTCATGTCCAAAGCAAACTGCTTTCTACTGCTGTTCTGTCTCATAGGCTGCCTTCTCAGAAGCCTTTCTCTGCCATCTACACCCTTGTTCTCTGATATCTTCGCCATCTCTTTCTCCCATTGCCTGTTTGCCCTCAAGCTAAAACATGCTCAAGCTTCTCCTTCTAGTTATTCTCTCTCTATTTTTCAGAGCTAAGTTTCTTGAGTTAGCATATTACCTCTCTCGACTCTTTCTTCCCACTTATCCTCAGTTCACCTGCATGCCACAAAAGCAGTTTTCCAAAGTTATATTGACCTGCTAGTTCCTAAGTTTGAGGAACTCTTCAGTTTATGTATTATTTGACTCCTGGTTTCTCTGGCTGGCTCTCTGGCTACTTCTAATGTGTGACCTTCCTCTTCACCCACCCTTTAAATATTGTTATTCCCTAAGGGTCTGCCTTAGTTCTCTTTTCACTCTACTTAATCTCCCTAGGTGATTTAACATCAGCTTCTGTCTATCCACTGATCCCTATAGGCATCTCTTGGCTGTGGACCCTTCCAGAAAGCACCAGCCCTTAGTCTTCAGCTTCTGTGATGTATTTATATAGTACCATATAGTCTATAACCTTTCAGAGATAAGAATAGTGAGAATTGATATTCTTTCGGAGTTAGATTAAAATACTAAGGTTCAGAGAGTTACGATTATATGGTTAGAAAATGGCAAATTTAAAATTAATCTTTTCCGACATAAATTAGGTAAAAGTTCTGGGTACCTGTTAGCTGAAACTCCTGTATTTCATCTGTTCCTTCTCTCTTAGGTAGAGATTGATAGTCTCAACTTTCACCAGAATCCTTGATTTATTGGACAACATGATAAAATTTGAGTTCCCAGTCATTTTATTACTTTCATGGTTGAAATTGTGTTTACTTATTTTTCATAGTGTTCATTAGACTAAAATGGGCATGGAATTATATATATATGTGTGTGTGTGTATAGTACTGTGAGGCACTATATAAATACATACAGAAGCTGAAGACTAAAGGGCTGGTGCTTTTAATAAAGAGGAGGTGTCCAAAGCAGAGCTGTCTAGAAGGATCAGTGCACACTGTTTAGAACACTGTTTCTGAACCTTTCTTTGTGATTCCCACCCCTGAGGAAAACATTAAGAGACATTAAGGAATAAGATTTTGTCCTATTGGGTTAAGATCTGACGCGCCATAAATGACTGTGGTACCTGAGACGGTTTTCACCTTTTTGGGTGATAATCTCTGTTGATAATGCATGGCTTTAAAGAGCAGCCATAAATAAGTCTGTACTTCATGTAGCTAACGGATGCCTTTTAGTCCTGTTCTTGACCTTGCTATGTGGACCCTGGAAGTGGAGAAAGTAGGTATCCCTGTTCTAGACAAAAACGTAATATCAGGGCACCCTGCTTAGACCGTGAAGGACCTTCTATTTGAACCCCCAGATCTACCCAGAGGATATCATTGTCATCTAACAGAGGTAATTTGAGTAATCTCCTTGAAATATCATAGTTGGAGTGGAGCTAATAAATTACTTTGAAAGGAGTGATTCTTTTTTTCCCCTATGTATTATTATTTTTTCCCCTGTGTATAATTATTCACTCATTGATATAAAAAGAAAGGAATTTTATAGTTCTGCATAATTAATATAAAAGATCATTTCTAAAAAAATAAATAAAAGATCATTTCTGTAGCAGTGGGATAGGAAAGAAAATGGTCTCTTCTGCTGGAGTTCTGTGGCTGTCCAGTGGCCTGGGTTCAGTCCCTGGTTGGGGAATTAAGATCCCGCAAGCCACTTTGCATGGCCAAAAAAAAAAAAAGATCTCTCCTTCATAACAATGAACCAAGAGATTTTGGTGTGATATCTGAGTGTTTTCCTTTCACTTTGTAGCTCGTTCTCCAGTTTTTAGTGCCATGTTTGAACATGAAATGGAGGAAAGCAAAAAGGTATGTAACAGAATAGAAATACATCTTTTTAGCTAAGTGGCTAGAATCAGATGATTTCCCAATTTGGAAGCAGATTTAGTTTGCTGGGGGTTTTTTTGTTGTTGTTTTTAATTTCTTATTATGTGATTAAAATGGAATATAGTTCCCTGAAAAGACAATTTCTAAAAGCAGAGAGCACTCTGGAAGCACTCTGGGTAAAGCAGACTCACTGTTCCAAGCAGATCATTCAAATAGTCTTGAGTTGGGGAATTAGGCATGTGTTTTCAAAGAAACATGAAAAATCAAAGATATAGTTGTCTTGCTGTGTATTGAGAAAGCAAAGGTGGTACATAAGATGGCAGGAAAGGCTATTAACAATCAGATAGAGCAAAGAGGAATTTCTACTGATGTTAGATTTAAAATGATACGAACTCCTCTCTTCCTCAGAACTTAAAATCATGAAGACTGTTTAGGAATTTTGTTCTGTTGGAATGTTTCTCATTTTTTAATTTTTTTGGCATAGAATCGGGTTGAAATCAATGATGTGGAGCCTGAAGTTTTTAAGGAAATGATGTGCTTCATTTACACGGGGAAGGCTCCGAACCTCGACAAAATGGCTGATGATTTGCTGGCAGCTGCTGACAAGGTGAGATAAGAACAGGAAAATAATAACAAGACTAGGATTTTGGTGACCTCTTGAGCTTCATGACTGGGCTTTTATGTTGCTTTGTGGGCAGGATGAGTGTATATCTTAGTTTGGTCAGAACAATCCTGGTTCATACTTGTGTTCCAACACAGTTATCGATAGCACTTTTTATTTTCAAAAGTGTCTTTCTTTTAATGGTAAATTATATGGTCACCCTCACTATGGAAAAGAAGTGAGGTTTACCTCTCTTCTCTTGCCCGTCTCAAAATTTAACTCAGTGATTTGAAAGACTCAGATTAACATTTGGATTTATAATTTGGCTTTGTAGTTTATAGAAATGTTCTTGAGTTCATTAACTTTTATTTAAACTTGGTCAGGAAGAGAATATCTTTTATATAGTGTTCTGGTCATTTCCAGCTTTTCCCTAAGAAGTTACTGAAATACATCATATTCAAAATTGTAAGAGAGATACTTCTACCATAAACATACACTTTGATTGTGAGACACATTTTGAGTTGAGAAATGTTAAAGTGTGAAAATAATAATGTAGATCTTAGCCTTAATGAATTGTAGTGGCTACTGAAACAACAGGCAGGTGATTCCCAAGATTGAGGGGGAAAATGTTATTGAAGCTCTAAGTCAGACTGGGGTTTTTGTGTTGCTCTTTTACGACCAGATTTCTCAGAACCTTTAGTCGTTAGTGTGCATTTTCTAAAAAAGAATACGGTGGACAAATTTCTCCAATTCATTAACCAGAATCACTTTTCTCAAGGATCACTTCCAGGGATTAGTGTTCCCCAAAACACAGTTTGGGAAACTGACTTTCATTATGTAGATACGCCAGAGAGAGCAGTGACCTGTTCCTCCAGGGCCCCGTGGTCTGAGGAAATGGGGGGATTGGGTGGGGGAAACAATTGCTATTTATCCTGTGGAAACTTTTCTTCTGTTGGGGAGCAGTTGAGGCAAGAGTGTTAAAGGGCATAAGCCCAGCCAGCAGTAGACCCTGTGAGAGAGATGGTTCTCTGCTGGAAGTGCCTGATTTTCCTGCCCTGCTGCTGCAGCAGCTGCCTGAGGGTCCCAGCGTCTCTGACCTGAACCCTCTAGAGCCTTCCCAAGATTCACTCAGGGGAGTCATCTCCTTCCCCCTTCCTTTGCATCCCTGAGGAAAATGTGTTTACAGTGGTGGTTTTATCTTTACTGGTCATCTTTTTGCTGTGTTTACAGAGGATGAGGCATATAAACACAATCAGTACCTCCAGTGTAGAGAATTGAATAATAACTGTATTTTATCAACTTGCAAAACTTTCTTAAGTATGATTAGGCATTTGCAAACATCCTGTACCCTTCCAGTCTAGCTCAGTTCTGACCAGAGAAAACTTGACTTTCAGTGGAAACAGAAAGAAAGCATTCACTGTGAGGTCTGAGGAAGTAGAATACGTGGCCCAAACGGCTGCTTTTCATAAGCTGATGTTTATAATGATTATGCCTGATTTGCCCTGTAATAGTGTTTTGGCCATACCACTCCGTTTGTGGGATTTTAGTTCCCCAATAAGTTCTGGGTGAGGGTATAAATGTTTTGGAAATGAACGTCTAGGTTAATACTGGGCACATCCTGAGAGCTTGGAGTCCTAGCCACTGGATCACCAAGGAATTCCCTGCCCTCTGATTTTCAGTGAAGCGGTCGCTTGTGCTTATACATACCAGGCGTTCACCCCTCTCATTATCCAGCTCCTGTAAAGATGAATAGTATCACAAGGTCCAGTTTTTAGACAGAAGTACTAAGAGTTGTACATTCTCGTATCACAAGGTCCAGTTTTTAGACAGAAGTACTAAGAGTTGTACATTCTCAGAGCCAGGTTTAGACAACTGTGTTCCTGGGCTTTCATTCCTGCTCCTCAGCCAGAGAGCCTACTGGGAACCTACTGTAAGTATAGAGAGCGTGGGGTCAGCCAGAACTGATATTCCAAGGGTGGTATTTTCAGTGCAGTGTGTAAGAAAAGCAGTTGAATCACAGCAGTGCTTTAATTTTATGAATGAGAAGTAACTGAAAAGTTGGTTTTTCAAGTTCCTTTCAGAATTTCACATTAGATAAGATAATCTTTGCTCTAAGCTTATTTAAAAACATTTTTACCTTTACACCTCCTTGTGAGGTTCAGGAAAACAGAATAAGAAAATTTTCACAGAAGGATCTAAACATCTAGAATTTACCCAAGAGACTAAAACAGCTTCTTCTGAGCTTTTCCAGTCTCCTGGGGAAATGTGTAATTAGACCAAAAACAAAACAAAACACGTTGCCCAGGCCTGGGAGACAAAATTCCAACCTCTCGAGTAAGTACTGCCATTAGGCAGGTTTTTCAGAAGCATAATTAAGGAAAAAAAACTGTCCCCAAGGGACAAAAATGGCTACTTTTGTCTAATTATGCAGTAGGGATCAGAGCTATTCACAGCAAAAGTCCTTTTAAAAGAATATATTGAGAAAAAGGATAAGATGAATATTCTTTGCAGCACTGAGTGAAGACTGAATATTTACTCAACTTTTTCCAGTCTTCTAAAACAAAAATGGCAACCTAATTTCTTTCTTGTCTAGTGTCATTCCTGTTTTCCATGGAAACTGTTTTCCAGTTACTCAAATGTAAAAAATTAAAGCTGCACCAAAACCAATAAAACTCTCTTTTTGCTGCAGGAGATCACAGTGCCGGCAGATATGCCTCCTCACCCAGAACTCATAAAAATAAAATTGTCCTGGTTTGATTGTCATGATTCAGCCCAGAGGAGTATTGTGTCATTGAGTTCTGAGGCCCTCAAAATGGGACCTGTACAGAGACTGTGGATACCCTCAGACCAAATCATTCTCCTGTGAACTAATTAGTGACAATTTTATTTTGTGCCTCCTTTTTTCCCCGTCTTCCCTCTTTGCCCTGAAATTCCTTAGTAAGTTCATGATATATTTGAGAGCAAGTAGTACAGTGGCATCAAAACAAATCAAGTAGATTAGATGTGCTCAATATTAACCTAGACCTTCATTTCTAGAACATTTACTTATACCCTTTATTTGGAAAATAGGAAGTTTTTAAGACTGAAACTAGATCCAGGTTCTCTGTTGCTTTGTTCTTCTACCCTCAGAATCTTAACCGAAACCCCAATAAAATAGGGCTCCATTTATCTTTCTCTATTGAAAAGGAGGAACAACTACGGGCAGAGTTGCTGGTAAAAGTCACCACAGGGCTCCTTTTCACAGCCCAATATCCTGCTGGGCTGGTGACAGTACTTAAGTAGAAAGGGCTGTGCTGCACCCTAGTCTGGCTCTAAATAAAAGGATTGCAAAAATTTTAAATGTAATGTCCCTGTTGACTTGAAGCAGAGAAATGCCTCATTGTAAGGGTAGGTGGTGATTGTTTAAGAGAGACTTAATCATAGTCAGGGTAAGGGAAAACTTGAAGATGTGGGTCTGTTGCATAGACCCATATTGCTATTTTTCTAATAGACTTTAGAACTTGAATGGCAGCTCTGCAAGTTATTTTAGCCATCTTCATTTCAGCCTTCAGCATGTGATTGTGTTTTATAATTGCCTTTTCATGGTCTGTGGAGTTTTACTCAGGTATCCAGTTACATGATGGTATGGTTGAAGAAACCTACTTCAGTGGCAGTCAGCCCAGAGCCTTTCCTGTTCTGACAACAGCACGTTTGTGTTCTACAGTACGCCTTGGAGCGTTTAAAGGTCATGTGTGAGGATGCCCTCTGCAGTAATCTCTCCGTGGAGAACGCCGCAGAAATTCTCATCCTGGCTGACCTCCACAGCGCGGATCAGTTGAAAACTCAGGCAGTGGATTTCATCAACTAGTGAGTTGCCATCTTCAAAGTTCTTTCAGAATAGTTGGGTTAGCTAGCAAATGAAAAAGACTTTGAATTGGTGAGTGAAACACATGAGTAACTTTAAGCTTTCAGGAGTAAGTAAGAGAGTGTCTATCTTTTCCTTCAGCTTGACAGTGTGAAAAATGGTTTTGCTTTCATCAGTCTAATCTGATTGGTGAGTGAAGTGTTTTACTACTTTGCAGGATGAGAATTGATGAAAATGACACCTCGCTGGTCTGAAAAACATTTGTCCCCCAAAGCAATAGCATCTTTACTTCACACTCACCAGTTTATTACAAAAAGACTTGCAGGTCTCTGGGAGAATGGAAGTGGATTTTTATGAGTCAGTAAGAGTGTCCAGTGGTCGACTGCAGAATGGGGAAAAGGGAAAACATAATTAGGAGATGAGGTCGTGGAATACTGTTTTGAGAAAGAAGTATCCATTCCAGTACATCTGTTCCTTCTTCCTAAATGACAAGTGACCTGGCCATATTACTTTCTCAGTGGGAAGTAATTCACAATGGGACATGTTCTACTGCTTTGCCTGATGGGGGGCAAAAGTTGGGGGAAAAAAACCCCAGAAGAGAAGCCCCCACAATAGCCATACTGGAGTAAGACAGGTCTAAGAGGTTGCAGGGTAGATGAGTAAACATTATTTAACACAGAAAATGCCCTGAAACAAGGAAAGATGTTCTATAAGGCTGAAGGACTATTTTGAAGGAGTTACCAATGGAGGCAAAATGTTCCTTATCCTGAGTGCTTACTCTGTACTGGACACTTGCTTGGTGCTTTTTAGATGTGAACCATTCAATGAAGTGTGGGAATTGGCCTCTCTTTTTCAATAATCAAATAAGCCCCAGGCTGTGATCTGCTTTGTGGTTATGGGACTAGTAAATGGCAAAGCCAGATGGAAATTCAGAGCTGTCTGACCCAAAGAACTCCTGCTCTTAATCAGCATCACCAAGGAATATAAAGAGCCTTGACGATTTAGAGAAAAGCCTGAAGAACATTTCATCTTTTGTAGTTGAGAATATAATGGCTCAAAGTTCCGGTTTTCAGACTTACAAGAGCCGTAACCTGGTCACCTGTCTACCTGTTGTCTAACAAGCAAATTCTCTTGCATGTTAAGGGTTCAATCTGAGTGTGTCTTGTATTGACACCCAGACAGCAAACCCTGGGAAACTGGGCTCTCTAGGTGGCTGTTTAGTTCATTCTTCACGTACTCCTTTGGTAACCCATCTCTCACATTTCTCCTAGCCATGCTTCGGATGTCTTGGAGACCTCCGGGTGGAAGTCAATGGTAGTGTCACATCCCCATTTGGTGGCTGAGGCATACCGCTCTCTGGCTTCAGCACAGTGCCCGTTTCTGGGACCCCCACGCAAGCGCCTGAAGCAGTCCTAAGATCCTGCCTGTTGTAAGACTCCGTTTATTTTCCAGAAGCAGCAGCCATCGTGGCTGCCACTGACCACCAGGTAGACAGCGCAATCTGTGGAGCTTTTACTCTGTTGTGGGGGGAAGAGACTGCATCGTGGCCCCAGACTTTTAATACAGCACTAAATAAACTTGGGGGAAATGGGGGTGGGGGGAGGGAAGGGCCCAAGACTCGGGGCTGTTCGACCTAATGAAAACCCTGTTGCTGCGTCGCTGTGTCCCCTTTGGCCCGGCCAAGGTTGATACTGTGGGGATTCGGCTTAGGCGCGGGCCCTGAGGACATCCCCGCGGAGGTACTTTGGAGAAACCTGTCTGCGTCTGACTGAGCAGAGCAAATCGTCAGGTGCCTGGAGCAAAAAGAAAACTTAAAAAGGACATTTAGTTTTAAGAGAAGGGAAAAGAAAAGAAGAAAGGATTTTTGCAGAATTTCTCAAAAAATCAGTTTGTGGATTCCAGTAGTATTTATGTTGAGAGAGATTTTAGTACATCCAGCTGTGCTAAAACTTCGACATTTGTGAAAACTCCTCACTACCATGCAAGTTATCAGAAGAGCTCTCTTGTGGTTAGCACTTATTGTTTGCAAGAACAGAATATGTCTTGTTACCCTTTGATGAAAAATGACCAGCAGAGGTGAAAGGGGAAGGAGATTATTTGATCTAGAAGATGAGTGTTCTGATGTGGTAGCTTTTGGAAAAAAATCTTTATTGGTGTTGAAAACTGGAAAAAATAATTTATCCAGAATTCATACTGTCTTGACAAGAACTATGGTTCTGTTTTTAGATATTGTGGAAAATGTTTTTTGGCATTTTTCTCTGATTTTATTTCGTCTCCCCCACTCCTTTTTCTAAAAAAACAAACAAATCATACACAACAATAACAGAGCAAAAAGAAGAGAAAAGAAAAGGAAATTTTATTATTAATGCTGTGTGAAAAACCTCCCAGCCCAAGATTGCTCAGCTGTTTGTACCTGACTTGCCGCCTGCATAGGAGCCAGTCCTGTTCCTTCCAATTCACCCCTCTTCCTGCAGGGGAGAACTTCCAAATGTTAATTTTTTTTTTTTCTTTTTGAAAATATAAATAATTACTATTTTGTACTGTGTGGTATCTCTGGTCTTTTGTTTCACTCACCTGGCTTGTCTTGTGGGTCTGAATTCCTTAAGGGATTTTGAAGGCCTAGTTTGATCCTTTAACTTGCAGAGGTTACACTCAAGATGTCTAAGCAGTAGGGATTCATTGTGTGTCCCTAATCTCAAATTTCCTTTGTGAGCTTCCAGCATCTGCCAGTCCCTTGTCCTTCCTAAGTATCTCAGAGTGCAAATCCTAATGAGGGATCAGGCTCCTACTGCTAAGGCAAGTAATAGAACCGGGCTTCTCTGCACCCTACGTGTTTTAAGACCTAACTCCCAATCTCCCTTAACTAACTATAAAATATCAAGGGGACATGAATGTGGAGATTTAATAAAGGGAAATTCTTATCTCTGACTGGTTCTGTCACTGACTGGATGTGTTTTCAGAAAACTTAGTATGTGAATTCCCAGTGAGCTCACAGGAATGCTCTGGAGCTCCCTGTCTGCTTTCATATGGCAGTGTTGGACAGGACAGTGGGGTACACCGGAGAATCATTAGCCATTGGGCTGAGGTGTGTATTATTTGACCTTAGATGGAGACTCAAAGCATTTCACCTTCCATTGTTCTCCAGTGACTTTAGCCTTCACAAACTTTCTAATTTTCATTTTACCTTGCCCCTCCTGGAATGAAATAGACACGACTATTACCAGTGTATCATTTCCCTAGTGGCTCAGATGGTAAAGCGTCTACCTACAATGCGGGAGACCCGGGTTCGATCCCTGGGTTGGGAAGATCCCCTGGAGAAGGAAATGGCAACCCACTCCAGTATTCTTGCTTGGAAAATCCCGTGGACGGAGGAGCCTGGTGGGCTACAGTCCACAGGGTCGCAAAGAGTTGCACACGACTGAGCGACTTCACTTCACTTCACATCACATTATCAGTATAATCAAAGGCAGGATTTGTTCATTAGAAACCACTCCTCTGCACTTCTTGGTTTCCTCCTAAGTGTCACCTGTGTGAGCAAGTGCCCAGTTCTCCATGTCCTGGCTGCCTTCTTGTGCCTCCTGAGTTCTCATTTTCCAGATGAGCACACGGAGCTGGGGGCTGAGGTGTACCCAGGATCTCCTCTACCCACATTGTCTCTCAGGTAACTACACTGGCTCAACACTGCTCAGGTTTCAACAAACCTTCCTATAACCTCATTTGAACTTCCCAACAACTTGATGGGTTTGGTAGGACAAGTGAGAGATAGCATCTTCCCATTTTATGGATGAGAGAAGTTGAAGCCCTGAGGGGGACATGCCTAAGGGCACACAACTTGAATAAGAGTTCTTCTAATATGATACCCTGAAAAGATTATGTAAGTAACTGGAGGAAGTTCCATATCTGAAATCTGAGGTAAACTTCTTTGTGTGCGAATAGCAAGAGCAAAAGCTCTATAAAGGTGCCTCAGCTGGCCTGTTACTCAGAGGATCCAGGAAGACAAACCAGGGTTCAGATTTGCTTTTCTTCATTCACAGAAAGCTGTGGATTGGGGGTTGGTGGGTTCAGGGACTGTGTCTTCAGGAGGGTAGCAATTAGCAATTCGGGCACCAGGCTCCTGGCAAGATAATGATCTTTTCTGAGATTTCCCAATATTTATGGGATTTCTACTATGGGCTTTACTATGGATACATAGTGGGTTAGGATTTCGGGTACAGGTAAAGCGGTTCGATGCTTCTGCCATCATCATTCTTTCTGGACGTGTTTGTTTTTGTTTAAATGATACAGTTGAAGCCGTCTGGTTATGACAACATCAGAGCCCCAGCATACTGTTTGTAAACTTCCCACTGCCACCACCCTCTCCTTTAGCTCCCCCACATCTGAAATTTAATTCAAGTTAACTCCACAATCTGGGGCATGTGCTGTCACTGCAGAGATGTCCGTGCCAGTGGAACAGTTGGAGATTTCAATTCCACTAGGATATGGCTTATTTATCAAAACAATATTTCAAGCACATAGTTTCACAGAACCTTTCGAGTTGCAGTTTTAGGTCCAAATACTATCTGGCATCATTCCCCAACTCCCCTCCTTCCTTGTTGTCAGCCCCCTCTAACTGGCCATTCATGAAACATTTTTCTTATTCCTTAAGTGAAGATTAAACCTGTGTTGATTATTAGGCATCTCAGGTACCTTTATGGCATTTAATAATTTAGGTAAGAGATGTTTCGCTTTTCCTTATCACTTACTTGTCTGTTGGCCTATTTAGGTCTTTAAAAGGTTCCTCTCTCTCTCTCTCTCTCTCTCTCTCTCTCTCCTTTTTTAGATTCCAGCCAGGGACATCAAGATTCTTTCTTAGGCCAAAAGATCTTTGGTTTGACCAGCACTCTGCACAGTCATTTATAATTCTGGCTTAAACCTATTGTGGGTTCTCCATATTGTATGAGCCTGTGCAGATGAAAGGAAACAGCTTGTATGTTTATGAGCAAAACAAGAAACTGGCAGGGGGTGGGGGTGGTGGGGAGTTGAGCTGCACTTTGAAACTGACTGTTGCTTTGTTCTGGCTGTTCAACTCCTATAAAAGAGCAGCAGCTAAATCCCCCCAACACGACTATATTGGATCCTTTGGGTTATCGTTGTCAAAGACAAGTTCTTGGCTGGTACCCAACCTTATTTTCCACAACTAATTATCTTTTTAATCAGCTTGGGCCTGTGTGTTTCCTTTATCTCATGACTTTTCCCTGAACTCTGCCCTACATCATTTAGATTCATTTCTAATGGCTTGCTGACTAATCCAACATTCAGGTGAGTGTTGTTAGATTGCTCTTTATGAATGTTTATGCACAAAGTGGATGTGTTTCCCCTCTTTTGATTTCAGAAGTGACTGTGCCACATTGGACCCTTTGACCCAATAGGTGGACACCTCCTGGAGACAGTAAGCATGGAAGCAAATGTAATCCTACATTGATCAGTATTTGGGAGAATGAGCAGCTTTCACCTCCAGATGAGAGCAGAAACTTCAATGATGTTGACTGATGGGATCTTTATGCCGCTAAGCCATTAGCAAGATAATCACCCCCCCTCTGTAAATCCTGTAATGCTGGAGTGGAAAGTGGCCTCTGAAATATTGTTTGGTTCTAATTCCTGCAGCTCTAGGAAAAAAGAATCTGAGACTTGAGGGAATTCAGTACAAGCAACAGAAATGACTAAGGAGTTGAAGGGAATCAACTCTGGGGGGAAAACATTAAGATGAAATAGGCATTACTCAAGTATGGGAATAGCGGAGTTCTGAGCACTTGCCGTCTTGTGTTGGGAGTTGTCTTGTACAGCTCCCATTCATCCCAAGGTGATAATGTAACATCCTCAAGGTCATTCAGCCTGGCTTTTGGCAAGAAGCAACAGAAGGCAAAGGAATAGCTTTGGGGCATAGGCCTGCAAAAGAAAATGTGAAAAATCTAAGAATTTGCCTAAATGGACATACCAGCTCATAATGCCCAGTTGAAATGGGGTGAGCTTTAGCCTGCTCAAGACCCTAAAAGATGAGCTCTTAACAAACTGCTGGGATAAAAGGGGCCCCCACATAATTCATCATCTTTTCATGTGTGAGAAAACAACCAGAGAAGTGAGATACTGAGACCACTGACTGAACAAATGATGCCTAAGCATCTAGAAAGTGCCAAACACTGTGCTAGGCTAGGCTTTTGGGCGAGTAGGATTTTCACTCCAGTAATCCAGTCTAACGGAGGAGAGAGGGGAGTGGCCCACAGAAACAAAGCCGGAAAGTCAAAGCACCAAGGACTGAAAAGCTATTGAATTTAGCAATAAGGTCAGCAGTTTGCTTAGAGCAGTTTCTGTCGAGTGGTAGAAGCAGAAACCAAGACTGATGAGAAGGTAAGCAAACATGGCTTGAGTATAAGCTACTC